CACTGTCCATGGTGAGGGTCTATGTGGGAGCTTGGTCTGGAGCTGGGGAGTGAGCTGGGAAGGGTGTTTTGGGTAAGGGAATAGCACATGCCAAGGCACTGAGGTGTACTTAGTTCATGCTTGGGCCAAGCAGGGCTCCATGCTGTGTGGGGCCTTGCTGTCCTGGGCACACCTAAGCAGGGCACAGCAGCTTCTACGAGGTCATGTGCTGGGCCCCGGAAACTGGGCAGGTTTTGGGAAGGGTGTTTGTTTGGGTTTAGTGGTCAGAGTGGGTCTGTGAAGGCCCAGGCTTGAGAGACCCTGCAGGTCAGGTGGTGCTGAGGTCATGGAATGGAAAACAGCTCTTGAGTTTGAGATGTTGGGTGCTCCTTGCTGATGTGTTCCCACCTTGAGGTTGGGCAGGTGGGCATCGAGTGAGGACTGGGTGCCTATAAGAACCTCTGGGCTCCATCGTGGTCCTTAGCAAGCCTGAGGTGAGGATCCTTGGCCTCAGGTGGTCTTCGTTGGGCTCCCTGTAACAGGAAGATCTTGTCTTTTCTGTGCCTTGTCAGTCTCTGACCTCCCTTCACAGGAGTGGGTTGGACAGCAGCCTTTGCCTCCTATAGATGCTCCTGGGTTTTCACACAGCCTATGGGCTGGATGGCAGCCCCCACCCACTGGAGAGGGGGAGGGTGGACTGCTGGAATCTGCAGCCAGCACTGCTGAAGTCAGTCTGATCCCTGGTCTGCCATACTGAGGTCCTGCCCAGCTGTGTCCTCTAGGACCCGACTTGCCCCCTCGGCATGTGTGTGTATGGGGGGGCTGTGATTCTGGGATCCAAACCATGTTTTAATTACCCAGTTACTGCCGAGAGGAAGTTGCTAATTGCTTTTCCAGTATCAGATTCCTTCTGGCCTTTCTGAGGGTGGAGTGGACCTGGGAAGGGGCCTCAAGCCTGCCCCAGCCAGAGGAATGAAGGCAGGGACACAATGCAGGGACTTTGGAGGTGCGAGAGGACCTCTGGAAGCGGATCTGTCCTTCCTGACCTGAGGGTGGGCTCTGGGCCCTGCTGGCTGGTCCCACAGCAGTGATACTAAGCGGATCTTATGACAGTCGCACTTGAACTGACTTGCTGGCCAGCTCTCGGGGCCTCACTCAGCCTCAGAGTCCCCCCAGAGGCCACCCTGCCACCACCCCAAGAATGGACTTGGTGCTACAGGCTCAGGGTCATGGATGACTTAAAAATGGAAAGGCCTATGCCACCTCCAGCCCCCATTCTGGGTCCTCTGCTCTTTCCTACCTCCAGGCCTCGTCAGGAGACCACGTGCTCCATGGCACAGGGTGGAGAAGGCAGGGTGCTCCCCTTTCCGGGTTGGGGCCAAGCTGGGCAGCCCCCTGCTTCTGGGCAGCTAGGGCGCGTGCCGAACTTGGCAGACAGCCTGGAGAGCCCCAGACATCCTCCCTGTGCCCCGCCTGCCCACACCCGGAAAATGGGCCCTTTGTTGGCTCTGGGCTGGGCTGTCAGCTGTCTGCCTGGAGCAGTTGGCCCTGCTGCATTGGTGAGGCTGGGGGTTTCCAGGACCAGGGGCTGCTCACCTGTGCCGATTCTCACCTTGCCCTGAGCAGAGGGAAAGGGTTCCTGGGGTCAGGCTGACTCCCTGTTAGGACTCAGTGCAGGCTTGTGTGGTCACTGTGGCAGTGGGTATTTGATTTGTGAGGTCCTTCCTAGTCCAGTTCAGGCAGACCAGAGCCTTGCCTGGCCCTGACACCCCCCAGGCCACTAGAACCCCCCCCCCAGAGATGTGGTGGGCTGACTCCCTGGTTTTCAGAGGGCAAGAAGCTCAGGGAGAGACACGGTATGGGCAGTTAGGGTTGTGCCAGAGGCTGGATGGGTCTGCAACCCGTTTTCCTGGGGAGTCTGAGCCAAAGGTGGGTGATTCTGGGGTATGGTGCAGCCTGACTGGGCTGCCAAGGGGAGCCAGATGACATTCCTCAAGCCAGCTCAGAGGAGGGGACTTAGGGTGAGGACAGAGGGGCCCACTGAGTTCAGCCCAGAGGCCTAGATGCAGCGGACTTCCCTTGGGAGTGGAAGAGGGTGGCTGGTACAACTTGGGGCCACTTGTGCAAAAGCCGTCAGAGGTTGGGCTAGTTGGTGCTGGTGGTCTTTGGGGGAAAGGCTTGCAGAGGAGAGAAGTGACAGCTGGAAGTGGGTTGAGGATGCCCAGAGGATGTCCCTGTCCTGGTATGTGGGCCCGGCTGCTCGAGGGTGGGCTGCCCCAGTTGGTGGCCCTTGAGTGGACAGCTGTGGGCTGGGCATTCCAGGTCCAGTGTGTGTCCCACTGTTCTCCAGTGCTGCCCTACCCCGGCCTTTCCCATTCTTCCTGGAATACCCCCAGTCTGCCTCTCTGGGCAGCTCCAGGGCAGGTTGTGTGCAACTGGGGACCCCAGGACCCCTGTGTGTGAGCCTCAGTTTCCTTCAGGGTGGACAAAGCAGCAGACTCCAATGGGGATTGACTACCCTGCACGTGGGCATTTGGGTCCTTGCTGAGCCTCGGACAGTACACACTAAATGCATGTAGAGCCCACCTCTGCCCTGTGCCCTCTGGGCCGCAGAAGGGCTCTGTGGGCCTCTAGTGGCCACTTGCCCATGCGTCCCTTCCAGGAAGCCTGCCGGGGCCTCCCCAACCTGCCTGCGCGTGTGAGGGCAGGTGGTGGACAGATGGGTGCATGGCAGACAGACAGCTGGATACATGTGCTCCAGCCGCTTGCCCGCTGCAGCTGTTGGCTGCCACCTGTCAACATTGGCATGTCGGGGGTGGGAGGAGGGAGAATGGGAGCCTGTCCTCCGTCCAGCTAGGCCTGGAGCTGCATCTCCGACCTTCTGGGACCCCTGAACCAGAACCTCCCACCTACGCACTTGCTGGCCTGTTCTGGCCACCCCTTGGTGAGAACACCGTTTTCACAGGAGTTGGTAGGGTTGCCCCTTGGTGTGGCATTCACTCACTCCTTCCACCATGTAGTCTGGTCTCAGTGTGGAGGGGTTGGCAGGCCAAGTAGGCCTCTGGCCTGAGGGCATCATCCCCCTACAGGAGGGGCTGCCCCAGCCTGTACCAGGAGGGATGGTGGGAAAGAACTGGGAGCATGTGGTTGTGGGTGAATGGGTTTGGCTTGGTGATGACTGGTGGAGCGAGAGACAGGTGAAGGCAGTCCTCAGGGGAAGTCTCCTGGCCTGCTTTTCACTTTGATGGGTGCTCTGTATCTGAAGCTGAGTTTCCACCAGTGTCCCTATATCCTGTCCCTGCCTGCCTCCGTTTCTGCCCCCTGGCTATTTTGACCTGCCCATTCCTGTGTGTGGCGCTGTGGGTTAATGCGCTGGATTGCAAAGTCGGTTGAAACCACAAGGTTGACAGTTCAAGCACACCAGCTGCTCCTTGGAAACCCTATACAGGGTCGGTGTGGGTCGGAACTGACTCGATGGCACATAATAACAGCAACAACAACAGCAACATTCCTGTGTGGTGGCTGCTTAAATTTGGCAATTGCCAGTAGGTGCCTGGTTTAATCCTTAATTCTCAGGCCGGGAGGGATGTGTTGTTGATTATCTATCACCAGGCAGGAGAGGCAGAGCAGTGAAGCCCCTCACCTGCGTACCAATATTGGGAGTGTCTGACCCAGGGTGTGCCCTGAGTGATGTCAGGCTCCCCTCCCTTTCTGGCCTGTGTATGGATGCTCCAGGAGCTGACAAAAATGGGGAGGGGGGCGGTGCTTGCAGCTGCCCTGGTGGAGGTATCAGTGGGCAGGCTGGGCCATGGGGGTGGGCCCTATGCAGGCCTTGCCCTGGGAAGGCTCTCCCTGCTTCCCTGGAGGTCTCGGCCAAAGCCTTTGTGGGCCACCATGGGCCAGCCTCTCAGGCATCTTCAGCTGGCCCAGCTCTCAGGGCCCCCCCTGCCCCTCCCCCCCCCCCCCCCAGCCCTGGTTTCATCTCTTCCGGGCCTGGTTTGGTTTAAGCCTAGAGCTGAGCGGATGTGGGGGTGCTGGCTGGGCTTTGAGGAATGCGGCCCTCCCACTCTCCACGGGGCTGCCTCTCTGGGCTGAGCTGGGGGAGGGGGAGACTGGAGAGTGAGCCAGAGAACAGTGCCCCACCCTGGCGGCCCCACTGGCCCATGCTGGGGCTGTTGCTGGCCGCAGACCTGCCCAGCAGTGTGGGGGTGGGGGCCAGCTTCCCTGGCCACAGACTGCTGGTGCCAAGATGAGTTGAGAACTGGGCCTGGGGATGCTGCTGGGAGCTGGAGGTGGTCAGAGCCATGAAGGTGGCCCAGGGAAGGGACCCTGCCCCTGCCTCAAGCCTGAGAGAGCCCGCTCCGCCCCATAAGGGCTGGGCTGGCGCCGCCCCAGGAGCCCATCTTTGGAAAGCCCCCTGGGTCTCTCTGTTAATTAAATACATTTGTTTGGTAAAAGCAACTAAAAATACTTGCAGCATCACAGGCTGCGGAGGAGAAGAGCCGGCTAATTAGCGGCCGACTTGTTTGGGCTCTGGAATATATTTCCATGCGGATGAGACGCCTGTATTACTGCAGTGCTTTCTGCCTGGGGTGTTGCCTACCCCCTTAGACTTCCTGAGGCCTCCCCACCCTGTCCATCTTAGCCCTGCCAGCCCCCCACGCCTCTGCAAACGCCACTCTGCAGGAGGGCTGACTGCCTGCCCCAGGCTCCTGTGGTCATTGTCTGGGACACAGCAGTGCTGCTGGGTGGTGGGCTGCTGGCTGGACTGTCCTAACCGCCCCCAGAGCTGTGGCCTCTGTTGGCCGAGGGCAGGGCCAGCGCCTGCCTGCCTTAGTCCGAGTCTGGCCTGCACTGGCTCCTGGCAGCCTGGGGGTGGGGGCCAGGGCCAGAGTGTGGCCATTTCTGACCCTTCCTTGCCTTGCACGGTTTTGTGGGGGCAGCGCTTTGGGCTCTTGGCCTGAGTGGGCCTGGGGCAGGAAGGTATCAGAACAACCCCACTGAGGCCCTGTTGCCCACAGATCCTGGTGGACTTGGCGAGCCCTAGCGGCCGGCCAGCCCTGGCCTATGAGAGCGTGGTGGCACAGGAGGGCAGCCCCATCCTTCGGGACCTCGTCCTCAGCCCCAACCGCCGGTACCTCTACGCCATGACGGAGAAGCAGGTGGGTCCCTGCTCACTGCTGTTGGGGGGCCAAGGAAGGAGTATTCTTGGTGCTAATCCCTGCCCTGCCTCCCAATCTTCGTAGGCAGAGCTAGAGGGACTTTGTGGCAACAGAATCCCAATACTGTTGTTCGTTCAGGGTTTGTGGTACGGCCCAGGCCTAGAGCCAGCCTAAGACAGTCTGCTGTGTCTGTCTCAGTGGGGCGGCTGGGAGAGGCCTTGGGGCTGACAGAGGGGCTGTTGGGCTGGGCTTCTGTATGTCCTCAGCCCTGGGCCTGGCCTTAGCTCTCAAGGCTGTATGCTTGTCTTAGCCTGCTCTGTGAGGAGCCAGCCTCTTCTTCAGCTTGTTCTATGACTCTGGTAGCCTGGTAGGGAGGGAGGAGGGGGCAGGTGGGCTGGGCCTCCCTCCCACCCTCTGGGTCCACTTCTGTCCCACAGCCAGGTGTGTGGTGGCCAGGCTTGTGCCCACCCCTGTGATTCTGCCCCTGGGCCTCAGGGCCAGTGAGGTTGTCTTTGTGGGTCCAACCTGCCTCCCTGACCTTGGCCTGCCCTGGTGCTCCCTGGGAAGCTCAAGAGTTGCGGGGAGCCCTCACTGGCCAAGTTTTGTACTGGCTGGCCCTCCACTTGCTCCCCACTGATGTCCAGGCCCCATTGGAGAGCAGGCTTGTGTAGTATGAGTGAAGACCTGGGGGAGGGACTTACTTGGGAACTAGATGCTGAGTGAGGTCTGGGGAGGTACCTGATATAGCAGCGGCTCTCCAGGTGACGCGGGTGCCTGTGGAGAGCTGTGTGCAGTACACGTCATGTGAGCTGTGTCTGGGCTCGAGGGATCCCCACTGTGGCTGGTGTGTCCTGCACAGCATGTGAGTTTAAATTGGGTGGCCAGGTAGCAGGGGTCCTGAACTTCACCTGGTGGCTACTGACCTGAGCTGGGTGGGCCTCAGTCTTAGTGTGTGCCTTGGGTGGGACACATTCCTCTGAGCCCCTCTGGGACCCACCAGGCAGCATGTGCTCTGAGCCAGGCCCTTTCCTCTAAACCCTCCCCCCCAACCCCCAAGGTGGGATTTCCAGGGGCAAGTGTGCCATGGGATGGGGTGAAGGAAGCCTCCATAGGGGACTGGCCATCTGAGGGTCCTCTCTGGGCTGCTCCCTGCCTCTGCCACCCTCAGCTGCTCTCGGCAAGATGCTTGTGAGCGGGCAGACGAGCCCCAGCGCTTTGCCTCGGACCTGCTGCAGTGTGTGCAGTTGACAGTCCAGCCACGCAACGTCTCTGTCACCATGTCCCAGGTTCCGGTGAGTGTGCCCCTGCTCTGGGTACTGGGCCACGAGAGGAGCTCTGGGAGGTGGGTCACTCACCCCCCACCTTGTGTCCAGCTCGTGCTGCAGGCTTGGAATGTGCCTGACCTCTCGGCTGGGGTCAACTGCTCTTTTGAGGACTTCACGGAGTCTGAGAGTATCGTGGAGGATGGCCGTATCCACTGCCGCTCGCCCTCTGCCCGTGAGGTGGCGCCCATCACCAGAGGCCAGGGTGAATAGGCTGCTGCCCTTTCGGCGTGGGGTGAAGGTGGGCGGGTGCTGTGCCTGAAGCCAGAGAGGGAGCCACACCTGCGGGTCATTCCTTTGTCCAGCACAGCCCCCATTGTGTGTTGGCCCTAGAGACTTTCACGTTTCATGTTCGGGTGCCCACCCTCAGCCTCCTTCTGGAGTGTAGGAAATGTTCTTGGCACTGGGGCAGACCTGTGGAGACCCTTCCGTGGGCAACAGACTAGTGTGTCTGATAGGGAGCCCACAGAGTGGAAGGGAGGTGGACCGGGCTTGGTTGGCAGGTCGGACACCATGGGGCAGAGCCTGCAGAGACCCAGGGGGCTGGAGGGTGGTGGGGGTAAGGTCGGAGGTTCTATGGGCAGGTCCTGTGGACTTGTGGCTCCTGGTTCAGGCTATGTTCTGCACAGAGGGTGAGCACAGGGTGCCGGTGCAGCTGTGATCTGTCATCCAGCCACCCCAGGCAAATCAAGTCAGAATGCAATGGTCAAGGTGGGCCTCCTGAGCTGGGACTGTGTCCAGCCACATGTAGTTGCTGCAGAAGGCATGAAGAGTTCGTGGGCACATCCTCCCTTGCTCGCGGCCTAGGATTCCTCATCCACAGAGCCGCTCCAGCCTCGTGTGATGCAGCCTGGCTCTCTCTGCCCTGAGTGCCTCAGCGTCTGCAGCAACATGTGCATTTCTGGCAGGAGACCAGCGGGTGGTGAAACTCTACTTGAAGTCCAAGGAAACTGGGAAGAAGTTTGCATCAGTGAACTTCGTCTTCTACAATTGCAGCGTCCACCAGTCGTGAGTACCTGGGCCGCAGGGCTGTGGGCTGGGCAAATTTAGCTGGGCCCCATCCCCACCCCCATTCCCTGTGGACTGCTGTTTTCCTCTCTGTCTTCCCAGTGCTGTAGACCCATCCCCACAGCTCAGTCTAACGGTGTAACATGGTGAGAATGTGCGGTCTGAAGGCAAAGCAGTGTGGGAACAGGTTGCAGGCAGGGGAGTCCCAGGCTTAGGAGCCCAGACAGAGAGAGGTCTGTATGACTTGAGTGGAGGGCCAGTGGGCAGAGGTCACACTGGCCAGTGAGGCCAGGGTGGGAGAGAGGGACTTGTGGCTAGCTCCTTGGGCACTGTGGGGTGGATGGCCTAGGGGCCCAGAGTAGAGGTAATAGTGGAAGACAGTGCTGCTCTGGGTCAGCTGGGTGATGGTCTCTTGGATTCCAGTAAACATAACTGTACTTTGTTCCGTATCACGACTCTGCTGCTGGTGTCTGCCTCAGGGCTCAGTGCCCTCCCCAGCTCTCTGCTGAGCACGTACTATGTGCCAGACAGTGATTGAAATTAGCATGTCATTTCTGGTCTTTGTCAAGGGGCTGCACAGTGGTGACTGAGTGTGGACCAAGGGTGGAGTGACTCATGTAGGTTGTGTGGGGCAGCGTGTGTCTGAGGGCGTTTGAGTGGAAAAGGTGGACGTTGTGTGTGAAGGTGTCAGTCCGTCCATCCTGAGGCTCTTCCTGAGTGCTTGGTCCCGCCCTGCCAGGTGAAGCCAGTGCTCCAGAGGACAGGTGCACAGACGCACATGGCCTCCCAAATATAAGTCAGATTCATTAAACTAGGAGAAAGTGAGAAATGTTTTCCCTTAGCTACCCTGGCAGTGCCTTAGTGCCCTGGGCTGCTTTGGGCAGGCAGTTGTAGTTGTCGACTTGCCGCCACTAAGGGGAGCTCTGTTGGACTGCACTGGGCTGGAGGGTTGGTGGTGACCAGTTTTAGGGAGAACAGCAGTGAGGTGACAGGTGGGGTTGCTGGACCAAAGGCAGGTGAGGAGTGGACCGCCCAGACTTGGGGAACTGGTGTACACAGGTCCTGAGGTGGCACTCTGTGTGCCTAGGGCAGGGCTCCCCGGGACCTCACTGCCATTCCTCTCCTTGCAGCTGCCTGTCCTGTGTCAACGGCTCCTTCCCCTGTCACTGGTGCAAGTACCGCCATGTCTGCACACACAACGCTGCCGACTGCGCCTTCCTGGAAGGCCGAGTCAATGTGTCGGAGGTAAGGCCCTGCTGATGGAAACGACCTTCGTGTCCTGAACTGTGACTGCTCGGCGTCTGCTGGATTGAGCAGACCTGTGAGCTGTGGGGGCTGATGGAGGGACAGGCACTGGGAAAAGGCAAGTGGAGGGAAGTGGAGGGCAGGGTTAGGGTGTGCGGGGGTGAGCCGCAGGTGCCCGGAGCCCGGGCCTGGTGGCATTTGGTGGTGGCTGCTGGTCTCTTTGGTGAACTGGGCAACCTCGGACGGTGGCCTGCCTCTGCAGCCCTGCCCTGAGACTGTAGACAGTGGGTGGGCAGTATGGTCAGAGCTAGGAGTGTGAACCTAGGACCCAGATGGGGCACAATATGGTTCCCAGCATTCTGCTTGGGGCAGACGGATGGGGGAGACCATGTGATGAAGTTGCAGAGCTCTTGCTGGCTCCTGAGTTGTTTGAAGCATTGCATGGTAATTGATAATAATTAGGTAGTAATTATTTTGGAGCCTGGGCAAGGCACTGACTTTGTTTATTATCAGAGCTGACACTTCTCCTGGGGCCCGAGGCACTCAGGACAAGTGTAGGACTGGATGTGTAAGGCGGGTGAAGGCGGGACCCAGTGGGTAGGGCTCAGCATTTAGCCTGGCCTAGAGGAAGCCCGAGGAGCTCTGGTAGCATAGTGGATACGAGTCAGTCTGCAAACATTAAGGTCAGCAGTTTGAAACTACCAGCTGTTCTGTGGGAGAAAGATGAGGCTTTCTGCTCCCGTAAAGATTTACAGCCTCGGAAACCCTGTTCAGGGTCGCTATGAGTCGGAACCAACTCCACAGCACACCACCACTGCTAGAGGAAGCCTGGTGTGGCACTGTAGGATAAGCACTGGACCATAAGGTCGGTTTGAACTGCCAGACCGCTTGTCCCCACAAAGGAGCCTTCTGCCCCTGCAGCCTCCCTTTGGGTGAGCCTCTTCCTCCTGCCCCCCACCCCACATCATCCCCAACTGAAAACAAACGAAGGTCCTGGAGATCGCAGGGCCCTGACATCCTGCTGAAGGCCCGTGGTCACTGACTGGGGGTTCTTGGAGACCCCGGCCTGTATAGGGGAGGAGTGGTGGGCACAGGTGACCAGCCCCTGAATCTCACAGCAGGAAGCAGCAGCATTGCACAACATGGGTGTGTTTCTGAGTTGGGGGCACCCCCAAAGGTGGCAGCCAGAGCTGGAGCTGGGAGGGCCCTGAATGCAGGGACGTTGTTGGTCGTCACATACCCAAGTTTATGCAAGCAAGTTGACACTGGCCTCTGGTTATTAAAAATACCTGTTGAATGCGTTTATTCTCCCACAAACCCTGCTTTGATGGAACATTCCCCCAGTGCCTTTATAGGAAACCTTTCCAAGGGGAAGCTACACTTGCTACCTCCACCTTCCAGGCCAAGTGGCTGCCTAAGGCCTCCACAGTCCTCCAAAGCTGTCTTCCTGCCTTTCTGGGGAGTATAGGCTTGGGACTCTGGCCAGGCTCCCATGGATACACTGGCACTGTTAGGCCAGGCCTCTGTGCTGCTAACCCTGGACTTGGGCCTGAAGGAAACTCCAGCTCCAAGCTGGCCCCTTTCTTGTACATGGGGCCCCAGAGTGCCACTGAGATCCACAGAGGGCACACGGGTGTTGGTGTCCAAGTGATAGGGCACATTGGGACTTGTCTGGAGAGAGGGGGTCAGAGAAAGCATTCTGGTGACCAGAAAGAGTCAACTTTAGTGGGGCATTGTGGGTATGGACGCTCCAGGAGGCCTTGGGTGGAGGGCTGGCCCAAGGGAGTGCTTTCTTGCCTGGAAGGGGCCCTGGGCACCCTCAGGTGGACTGGCTAGTGCTGGACTGTGATGTGCCAGCACCTTCCCCAAGGACTATACAGCCTCAACACCCTACAGGAAGCACCCCTGAGTGCCCACAGACTGCAGCCTGTGCCTAGCCACAGGGTATCTGTTTGTTTGGGGAGGGGTGTTCATGCAGCACTCGCAGCCCTGCTCCCCAGTGCCCGTGTGTCTATGCAGAGCTGCTGGCCCCAGCCCACCTAGGAGCGGCTGCAGAGCCTGGGGACAGGCCTCTTTCAGTGGCATCTCTATTTAAAGCCCTGCTTCTGGGTTCCTTTGGGGCCCACTCCTCTGCCACTGCTGCCAGCCATGCTGCAAGGAAGCTGGGCCATTGCATCAGTTATTGTTGCTGAAACGCTGGCCCTGGGGCCTGGGGTGTTTTTCTGCCTGGCGTTGGCTATTTTTACTTACTCTCTGGGCCCCGAGGTGCTCTTACGGTTGCCTCTGCCTTGAGAGTCTTCCAGCTGTGGTCCAGATGGGGCCCTCTCAGTCCCAGGACTGTGCATCTTCTACCTGGGCCGGTTGGGCTGGAGGGGGACCTGCCCAGCCAGCTAGCTGCCCCTCGCCTTACAAGCTCGGCAGTGGCCACCCTTCTTCAAGGGCCCCCAGCTAAGTGGAAGCCTTGTTTTCACAGGACTGCCCGCAGATCCTGCCCTCCACACAGATCTACGTGCCTGTCGGTGTGGTGAAGCCTATCACTCTGGCGGCTCGGAACCTGCCACAGCCTCAGTCGGGCCAGCGTGGGTATGAGTGCCTATTCCACATCCCGGGCAGCCCGGCCCGTGTGACCGCCCTACGCTTCAACAGCTCCAGCCTGCAGTGCCAGAACTCCTCAGTGAGTACCTGGGCGGGGAAGAGGGGCATGCCAGGCCTGCTTGTGAAGACCCCAGAGACTCTCTGGCTGCCTGGGGCCCTGCCATGCTCCTTGAGTGCGCCAGGCTGCAAGTAGAGGACTCTGCAGGTCTGGATGCCTGCGAGCCACCCAGACCTTTGGGGGTGCATGTCTTGGCAGTGGTGGGGTAGCTGGGGAGTCATGGTAGCATTTGCCTACGTGTGGGCTGTCCTTGTCACCCCAGAATAGCCTGTGTCCCTGTGGCTAAGTGAGGAGTGGCCTAATGTTCAGATAAGTCTGTGCAAATCAGCAAATGGGTGCTGGCCTCTGTGCCAGGGGCTGCCCTGTTGGAACACCACACATAATGCCTGAAATGTCAGCGACTCTGATCAGGCTCAACGAGTTTGGTGGCAGGTGGTTGCAAAACATGGATTGGTGGCAGTATGTTGGAGTCAGGCTTCCTGGATTCAAATTCTGAACCCCTCAGATGCTTGACCTCTGGGAAGTTCCTGATGTGCTCTGAGCCTCAGTCTCCCACCTGCTCCAGAGAGTGGGGGATTTCCTTTAGACACCTTTCCTGGAGTGGGCTGAGATGTCACCTTGGATTTTTGGCCATTGATCAGGCATGCTGCCCCCGCAGTAGGGTTGCTCTGGGGCTAATTTAGCCCCTGTCCATCCATCCGTCATCCAGACCTCCCTCCTTGCTCTTTACCACACTCTCTGTGCCCCCGACCCCTTCGCTTCCTGAGACCGTCACTGCTGGCCCCCCTCCAGTGCTCCTGGCCTCCTGGACTTCTCGAGGCTCCCATGCACCCCCCCCCCGCCCCCTGAGGGTCTGTCACCCCTTCCCCTTACTGTCGCTCGCCCTCCCTCCTTACCAGACCCACATTTATCATTCCTGTCTAAAGGGAAAGGAGTATCGGAAGAATTTGATAGGATCCAATTAAATTCCTACAGATAAAATGATGATAAATTGCCGCTGCCCCTGAGAGGCTGGGCTGCACACTTCCTCCACCTGAGTACTTTCTCACTGTAGAAAGTGAGGCTGGGGGCGGGGGCGGGGGTGGGGGGTTACCGAAAGAGCATACAGAAGACAGAGAAATGGACTCAAAAGCACCCCCGACTTGTCCTAGGAGTCTAGCTGGGAGGTCCTGGTGTCTGGGTGAGACTGGCTTGCATCTGTAGGAGTCTCCAGGGAGACCATACTGAGGTGACCTCTGGGAAGTGGGGTATCAGCCCTGGAGGGTGGGGCCATGACCTGCAGCAGCAGCCGCTCAGCTGACTGGGTGAGCAGGGGCTGCTGAGAGGGCCTGGGCTCCACACTGGAAATGTGTTCCACCTAGAGCCTCATTCCCTCCAGTCCCTCGGCTCCCTGTGAGGGGCAGGTGCTGAGAGCAAGGACGGCCTCCCCACAGTAGGAGCTTGCATGGCTCAGGCAGTGGGGGTCGGGGGGTGGGATCTCTGACAGCCCCCCTCTGCCCACAGTACTTCTATGAGGGGAATGACATCAGCGCCCTGCCTGTGAACCTGTCTGTGGTGTGGAATGGCAACTTTGTCATTGACAACCCCCAGAACATCCAGGGTGAGCCGGGGCTGGGCATGGGGCTGGGGGTAGGCTGGCTGGTGAGCTGAGCTGACCATGACACCCACTCCCAGCGCACCTCTACAAGTGCCCGGCTCTGCGTGAGAGCTGCGGCCTCTGCCTCAAGGCTGACCCTCGCTTCGAGTGTGGTTGGTGTGTAGCCGAGCGCCGCTGCTCCCTGCGCCACCACTGCCCTGCCGACACACCTGCCTCCTGGATGCATGCTCGGCATGGCAGCAGCCGCTGTGCCGACCCCAAGATCCTTAAGGTAGGCGGGGCAGCCTCCCAGGGCACCTGGTTCCTCAGTCATCCCTGCTGCCCCTGGGCAGCGCTCAGCACAGGGTGGATGGCAAGGCAGCACCGGGTCTTGGTCCGGTGCTGGGCCTAGCCTCTGCCCTCTCACAGCTGTCCCCTGAGACGGGCCCAAGGCAGGGGGGCACACGTCTCACCATCACCGGCGAGAACCTGGGCCTCAAGTTTGAGGACGTGCGGCTAGGCGTGCGTGTGGGCAAGGTGCTGTGCAGCCCTGTGGAGAGCGAGTACGTCAGCGCTGAGCAGTGAGTGCAGGGCTGGGAGGCGAGTGGGATGGGCGGGGGTCTCCACTGGCCGACCCGCCCACGGAGCCATCTGTGACCTACAGGATCGTCTGTGAGATTGGGGATGCCAGCCTGGTGCGCGGCCACGATGCCCTGGTGGAGGTGTGCGTGAGAGACTGCTCCCCCCACTACCGGGCCTTGTCACCCAAGCGATTCACCTTCGTGGTAAGCCTTTCCCTGGCCCTGATAGAAGGAGGGTCAGAAAGCCGACTGATCTTATTGGGTACAGGGGCCGTGCCATCTCCAGCAGCACCTCCTCTTGTCTTTGCGTTTGCTGTTCTCCAGATTAGATACTATCCCGCCTTTGTCCCGTGCCTCCTTATGTCAGGCCTAGTTCCAGGGATTCTGTGCCCCTTGGAACCTGCTTCTGTGGGCTGTGGGACCAGCCCTGAGGCCCTGGGCTTCCATCAGGCTAAGCAGGGCTCTGGCCCCAGAGGAGAATGGCTTCCTGGGAGCTCCAACAAGTTCCTTCTTGTGGCAGACGCCAACCTTTTACCGTGTAAGCCCAGCCCGTGGGCCTCTCTCTGGGGGTACTTGGATCGGCATCGAGGGGAGCCACCTGAATGCAGGCAGTGACGTGGCTGTGTCTGTCGGCGGCCGGCCCTGCTCCTTCTCCTGGTATGGGGGTGCACAGGGCTGGGGTGGGGGTGGGCTGTACCTCCTTCTGGCTCATTTGGCAGAGTGCCCCCTGCTGTTGTCAGGGAAACAAGGGGCTGTGGAGAGCCTGGCTGGGGTGATCACCATGGAAACCCAGAGGTGGGAGAAGGTTCCCATGGTGACAGGGAAGCAGGGCAGGTGGGTGGGGCCAGCTCCTGGGCCCTGGTCCTTCTCATCTGGGCACAGACAGCTGGGGGGAATCTCTTGGAATGTGAAAAAAGAATCTTTTTAAAATTTGAGGGAAAACGGAAATTTTAACAGAAGGCAGGAGTTTGAAGTGGGTAGTTTTAGATTAGGTTGGTAACAGGTGGTTCTGTAAGTAATTACCTTTTGTCGGCAGTAATCACGGAGTTTACTAGGCTATAATACAAGGCCTTCTGACTGGTGGGACTTCTGTGGTCAGACTTGTGACAAGGAGAGCCTAATGTGGGATACACTGAGGGCCGTCCCAACCCAGGCTACCTCGTGGGATTTCCTCAGAGCCTCTTGAGATGGGGGCTGAGCTGTCTTTCAGACAAGGCCCCTGGGGTGGAGGGGAGTGATCAGGGAGCAGGCTTGCCCCTTGACCTTCTCCGAGAGCCAGGAGCACCTGCAGTGTGCCCTGAGGACTGCTGGGGGCCTGGATGGGCAGACAGGCATTGTAGAGGAAGGACAGCTGAAGAGCTGGGGGCCTGCTTCAGGGCACGGGGCATAGAAGTGAGAGAGAGGGATGGGCAGCGGAACCCCTCTGCTGTGCTGTGGCCTGACAGGATGACCACCTGGGTCGTTCACCTGTGGGAGATGGAGAGGGCAGCTTGGTATCCTGAAGCCCTGGATGTCAGGCAAGACAGTGCAGGGAGAGTGGGGACCCACTCTGTTGTGCCCTCCGCGGCCAGGAGGTAGTGGCCTCAGGGAAGTGGGTTGCTGGGCCCACGTCACTAGTCATATGTGACAGAGCTTGGAGGTTTGCCTCCCCTGAGTGCCCCCCTTTTGTCCCTCCAGGAGGAACTCAAGGGAGATCCGGTGCCTGACACCCCCTGGGCAGAACCCTGGGAGCGCCCCCATCATCATCAACATCAACCGCGCCCAGCTCACCAACCCTGAGGTGCAGTACAACTACACCGAGGATCCCACCATCCTGAGGATCGACCCCGAGTGGAGCATCAACAGGTGGGGCCTCCCTGCCTGCCACAGACCCTGCAGTTTCCCTGTTGTGCTGAGGACCATAGCCAAGCACAGAGTCCCTTCCCCAGGAACAAACACTTCTGTCCTTGACTCCCTCTGCCTGCTCCTGCCTTAAGTGCCCGTGTGGAAGTGCTGGTCTGACACTGTCTTTTTGGGAGACTGACTCGGTCTGACCCCACCTGTTTGTACTGTCCTAGTGGGAGGGAACTCAGTATGGTCTGATGACTTACTACTGCTTTCATCTTCCAGTGGGGGGACCCTCTTGACAGTCACGGGTACCAACCTGGCCACTGTCCGCGAGCCCCGCATCCGGGCCAAGTATGGAGGCATCGAGCGGGAGAATGTGAGTGCTAGTTTTGTGATTGCTGGCTTAGGCTCTGTAGCCCTCCTCCTGTGTGCCTCTGTCTATAGTGCCCTTGCCTAGACCCTACTGAGAGGCTGAGGCCCCAGGGAGGCCAGTGGCCAGCTGTTTGCGGTTGCAGAGGCTTAAGTGTAGCCCCCTGTATTTTGGGCCTGGGCCACAGCTCTGAGTCCACCTTTCCCTTAAAAATGCTTTGCCCCTGGTGCCTGCTCTGGGCTTGGGAGGTGTGCCACCGTTTCTGAAGTGGGGAAGGCAGCAGAGTCTGGCAGGGCCTGTTCTGGGAGATACTCTGTCCCTTGACTTCGATGGCGACCATGCTATGGCAGTGGTGTGGACAGGATGGTCCAGCCCAGCTCCCCCTCGTGTGTTCACAGAGCTGCACGGTGTACAATGATACCACCATGGTGTGCCATGCCCCCTCCGTGGACAACCCAGTGCGGACCCCCCCTGAGCTGGGTGAGCGGCCAGACGAGTTGGGCTTCGTCATGGACAACGTGCGTGCCCTGCTCGTCCTCAACGCATCTGCCTTTCTCTACTACCCTGACCCAGTGCTTGAGCCTCTCAGTCCTACAGGCCTCCTGGAGCTGAAGCCCAGCTCCCCACTCATCCTCAAGGTGGGCCCCTGTGGGCTACAGATGTGCTGGGTGGGTCGGGTGGACACTAAGATCAGAGACGGGTCAGGGCTCGAGCCCCCTCAACCTGGCTTCACTCTGCTGCCTTGTGCAGGGCCGGAACCTCCTGCCGCCAGCCCCTGGGAACTCGAGACTCAACTACACAGTGCTCATTGGTTCCACGCCCTGCACGCTCACTGTGTCCGAAACGCAGCTTCTTTGCGAGTCGCCCAACCTCACGGGGCAGCACAAGGTCACGGTACGTCCAGGTTCCTCTGTGTCCACGTGAGATATTGAGTGTAGGGGCCGAGCTGCTATTGGGGCCTCCCAGCGCTGCCTCCCAGGGCACTCCAGCTACTGTCTGGGCTATCACAGCCCTGACTTAGACTGGCTTCACCCCAAGCCCTAGCTGACAGGCCCAGGACCATGTGGGCTCTAGCACCGCTCACAGGTCGGATCTTGAGGGCTTCCAGGTGGGTAGTGTGTGGTCCTGAGCCCTTCTCCTTCAACAGGTCCGGGCAGGTGGCTTTGAGTTCTCGCCAGGGGTGCTGCAGGTGTACTCAGACAGCCTGCTAACACTGCCCGCCATCGTGGGCATCGGCGGGGGCGGGGGCCTGCTGCTGCTCGTCATTGTGGCCGTCCTCATCGCCTACAAGCGCAAGTCACGTGATGCCGACCGCACCCTCAAGCGGCTGCAGTTACAGATGGACAACCTGGAGTCCCGCGTGGCCCTTGAGTGCAAAGAAGGTGTGCATGGTGGGGTGGGGTGGAGGTGGGGCAGTCTCCCACTGAGCTCCCTTCCATCTGCTGCAATGCCTGCGGCTGCTGTGGTCTGCTGACTAGGACGAATCTGGAGCCAGATGTGTGGGTTGGAATTTGGCCTTGCTGGGAGACAATGGGTGGACCACTGTGCCTCCATTCCTCACCTGTGGAGCAGGCGTGCTGACAGACCATGTTTCCTGGGTTGGGAAGGTTGGCAAGGGCTATGTTCCAGGTCTGTGACTATTATGGGGGTTGTTGCCTATGTGGACTCTGTGAGGCACCGTATAGGATGGGGTGGCCATGTCCTGGGTGTTTCTTCAGGGTGAGGTCTTTGTTCATGAGGACGCAGGCCACAGCTCCATGTGCTGAGTTGAGGTGTGTGTCTGGCACAACTTGGTGTCAATAGCAGAAATTTGTTTCAGACTGGCCCCACAGCAGGGGTGACGGGCTTCTGGCCCTCCCTGTGTAGGCTTCTTCACACGGTGACAGGTCCTCACTCAGCCCCATGGGGGCATAGTGTATCTGTGCGGTAAACCACGCATCTTCTGGTTTCAGCTGTGGCATTAGAGCTCTGGGAAGTGGGGCCAGGAGGGTGGGCTGCACAGAGATCATGGTTACCTAATAACACACAGGCTGACTGAGGGCAGTTCAAGACCCTCTAGTGGCTGTGTGGGGCTGAGAAAGCTGCCTTCACAGGTCTGTTCCCTAAAGTATACCAGGTCTGGGGGCGGCTCATGACCCCACCTCTGCTGTCCCTAGACTTAGCTGGTCCATTGCTGGCCCTGCACAGGCCTAGTCTCTGAGCCTAGACCCCTGGTGCTGTAGAGGGCTGCTGGGGCCCCAGGTGGCTCTGGGCCTCATGTAGATGTTGGCACCCTGAACTGTGCATTTCTGGGTGAGCAAAGGGAGCCACGTGGGGAGGTGGTCTGAAGCCAGGCACACACTCTGTCTGTGGGGTCTTACAGCCGGCTGACCAGCACCAGGCTGATGTTGGAGGGTCCCAGTTCTGCCACGGGTCCCTACCTCCTACTGAGCACTGCCTGCTCACCGTGCAGTGAGTGTCCTCATGCTGGGTGGTACAGGGATGGATGACCCAGAGGCTGGCCAGCCTGCCAGCAGTCCTGGTCACACAAGGCTGTCTGGGGATGGGATTCTGCAGGGCTGTTCCCAAGGGTCCACAGTGACTTCACCTCTGAGGAGACTGTCTGCCAAAGCTGTGGGCTCAGTGGCCTTTATCAGCTGGCGCATGGACTGGGCACAGCGACTGGCGGTGCGGCCTGGCTGGGCGGAGATAACTGAGTGCTTGGCAGCTGTGCCAGGAGATGAAAGGCTTCGGCTTTTAATTAAACCTGCCAGACATCTCTGCAGAACTGCTGGGCTCCTCTGGCTCCTGATCAGATAGTGCGTTCCTAGGCTGCTGTGGGGCTGACACCTCCCTGCTCCAGAAAGCTCCGTCTGGGCATGCCTGGCCGGCCTGGGGGCAGGCGGCCTGGGAGGGGCCTGGGCTTGTGTGCTGGCTGCTGGGGGTGCGGAGGAGCTTTGGGTATTGACAGGGCTTCTGTAGCTCCTTGTCTTGAGCCTGCACCCATCAACACCTCCTCCCTTCCCAGGCAACTGATCATAGGGTTGCCAGGGAAGAGACATGACCAGGGGGTGGCAGGAGGAACCAGCCCCCAAATACCATTGTGTGAGCTGTAGGAAGGCCCTGCTGGGCCCGGCCTGGGTACCAGCACCTGCTTTGTGGCTACCCAGTGAGGCAAAGGGATGTTTTCCTTTTGTTTGAGCGGGGGAAACTGAGGCCTAGGGAGGTACAAGAGTGTCCTGAAATCCCACGACCTGTCAGCGCCCCCCTGGCTAAGTGTGTGTCCCGGCCGGGGGAGCTGACGGGTCTCTGGCTCATAGCCTTTGCAGAACTGCAGACTGACATCCACGAGCTGACCAGTGACTTGGATGGCTCTGGTATCCCGTTCCTCGACTATCGGACCTATGCCATGCGTGTGCTCTTCCCTGGGATTGAGGACCACCCTGTGCTCAAGGAGATGGAGGTAGGATGTTGACGTGACAGGCGCCTGGGTGGCTGGGTTGGGGAGGGGAGAGCTGGAGGCAGCTCTGAGCCCCAGGCCAGCGCAGGACCAGTGGGCGGTGCTTGTAGGTGAGCGGGAATCTGCCCTGGAGCCCTAGAACTGACAGACACGGGCCTGACCCGGGGCAGGGCTGCCAGACTTGTCAGTACACACTGCAGCCTGAATGGCCGCATGGGTTGGGACGACGTTGCGGGGTGTGCTGTGGCTGTGGGGGAAGGGTGGGGTGGTTTGCTCTATGGATGTGATCAACACCACACCTTTGGCTCAGCCTTTGGCTCTGGCCTCTACACCCCTCTGCTCCTGTGGGGCTTTGTAGGTGGGGAGTGCCCTTCTGAACTGAGCCTGGCTTCCTGGGAGGGATGCTGTGATGAGGCGCCGTGTCCTGGCCATGGGCCCTGCCTGTCCTTCCACCAGCGCGCTCTGGTGCCTATTGCTGTGTTTGTCTGGGACTGTGCGTGTCCAGTGCATACCACCTGCCTGCCTGTGGGCCCAAGGGAACTGCCTTCCATGTGGCTGAGAGGGGGCAGGCCTGGGACTGGTGTACCTGTGTTTCACCTCTGTGAGCACCCCCAGGCTGTGTGGCCCTGGGCGAGCTCCGTCTCATCCATGAAGTGGGAAGGATGGATTCTGTGATGGTAATGGTGGCGAGAGGACTCCTGGCACCCAGCAAGAAGGGGCATTGAATGCTGCCATCGGGAGTTAGGTTTCCTCTGAACTGCCTGGGCCAGGCTGGGTACGGGTGATGGTCAGAGGCCAGCCATGCAGAGGTTGGCAGAAGCAGGCCCTCCCACTGGCTTATCCTGGTGCCATGCCCTGATGGTGGCCTTATGCTGTGAAGGTTGCCCCGAGGGTCTGCTCCCTGGCCCTGGTCACCCCAGGTTGTCTCACCGTGCTCCTGAGGCTCTCTGAGCAGAAGCTTGCCTTCCTGTCTTTCTTGGGGCTGGCTCCATGCGCTGAGTGGATTGATGTCCTCATAGGTACAGGCCAATGTGGAGAAGTCACTGACGCTGTTTGGGCAGCTGCTGACCAAGAAGCACTTCCTGCTGACCTTCATCCGCACCCTGGAGGCCCAGCGCAGCTTCTCCATGCGCGACCGTGGCAATGTGGCCTCGCTCATCATGACGGCCCTGCAGGGTGAGATGGAGTATGCCACGGGCGTGCTCAAGCAGCTGCTCTCAGACCTCATCGAGAAGAACCTGGAGAGTAAGAACCACCCCAAGCTGTTGCTGAGACGGTGAGTCCCGGGTTGGTCTTACTAGTGTCCTGGGGCTGCTGCTGCGGATTCTGTGTTCAATACAAGGAGCAGTTGTGGAGAGCCCGTGCCACGGCGCTCCTGCTCTAGGGCCGGCCGCTCAGTGCTGGCCTCACACCTCCCGGCAGAGATCTGACCTCTGCTTGGCAGAAAACTGGGGTCGCTGTCTCCACGGCAACTTTTAAAGCCATAGCAAGAGCAGAGGGTGGGGGCAAGGAAGATGAGGGTGCTAGTTCATGCCTGTGTTGTCCATTCCCTCCCCCTCCCCCCAGGACTGAGTCGGTGGCAGAGAAAATGCTGACCAACTGGTTCACCTTCCTTTTATACAAGTTCCTCAAGGTAGGCCGAAGGGATGCACAGAGTTGGGGAGATGGAGGAGGGTGCATGTGTTTTGGCGGGCAGCATTCAGGGGCAGAGTACAAGGGTGCAGACAGCTGGCAGAATCCCAGTAGAGTCCTGCTCAGGTGGGCAGCCTGGTGTGAGCCCCCAGAAGACACTTGTCCTTTCCTTCCTCAGAATGTCCTCTTCCCACCAGCCCAACAAGGCCATTTGGGCACCCAGTGCTGGGCCAGGCCTGGAGCAGGGTGGAAGTTCAGAGGGACTCTTGTCTGCTATCCATTGTGGGTGGGTTGGTTCGAGGGCTCCCTCTGTGCTTACCAGACAGACCTGCTCAGTCCCTGTGCTGGTGTCCAGCCTCAGTACAGGGCTGAGGTAGACGTGTACACTGGTTGCCCCCAGGCGCGACATGTGTCCAGGGGGCTGCCTGCACTTTAAGAGACTACACAAAAAAATCGAGAGCTCTGGCTTCTTGTGGAAGAACTGAAGGTGTGGTGTGCAGGGCCCATGTCCTCATGTGTTGGTACCCAGCCTCAAGCCTGGTGTTTGCTGTGTTGTTTGGTATTGGAGGGGGTGCTGGGGTTGTAAGTGAGTGAGACAGTATCGCCCGTGGCTCGGGAGGGGTTGGAGCTGGCGGCTGCTTAGCTGTGTGACTCTCTCCTTGGAAAAGAGCAAGTTGCTGCAGTGGGCGTGTCGCCGGGGGCCTGAGTAGTGGTTCAGGGAGGGTGAGATTGAGCGTGGTCTGAGGAGGCGAAGGCAGGAGCCTCCTAGGCCAAGGGGAGAAGTGGCAGCTGCCCAGGGCAGGAGGAAGCAGGGCACCGAGCCTTGGTGTTCTCAGTGAGATAGCGTGTGGCATCTCAGTGTGTCATGGTTGTCAGCACCTGTGAAAGTGCCCTTTTGTGCACATGAGGGACGAGGGGGCTTCAAAGGTGGATGGAACAATGGAACTAAAAGATTTCTTTGCACACACTTTCTGAACCTCTTTCATAGCTCACCGCATGCTTGTTAGCTGTCTGTGTCCGAGGACTGAGACTGGGCACACACCTTCTCAGTGTGATGGTCTTTGTTTGGTCCTGATCCTGCACACACACACCCACACCCACAGGGATGGGATCAGTTCAGCTGCCTGGGAGGGGCTCCTAGCAGAGAAGGTAGGGTTGGGTGTATCGTCCAAGGAGCTGTGCTCTGGCCCTTTTGGGGAGCTACTTCCAGGATGAGGAACAAGTAAGGCAGGGGCGGGGAGTCCAACCCGGCAAAGAAAGCAGTAACAGAAGTCTAACTTGGGCCAGAATGACATACACGTGGAGGAGAATGGCCAAGGTCAGAGTCCTCACTGAGGCCCACTGGAAGCTTTGAGCAGCTCTACTCTCAGCAGGCCAACCCTTATTTGAAATTCTGGTCTGACTCTTATGACACAGAGGACATGGGTACTAGACCAGAGGATACGGTGCAGGTGAAGTTTCTTCCTACGGAGGCATGCTGGGATTAGCTTGTGTGTCCATTCCCCACACATCACAGCATCTTGGAGCAGGGGAGAAATGTTTGTTACCCATTGGGTCCTCCAAATGGCTTTGGGGGCATTTCCTGTTTATATCATTGGTGATTGGGTCCCCCCCCCCCCCATGTGCTATTTGCAAACAAGCCAACTCCATATTAAAATGTTTTTCTCTTTTTAGAAACAAACAACATAGCTAGAAAAGCAATTTGTGTTCATATTAGCACACATAAGTGGGTCTAAAGGAGTGAGCACACCCTACCCCCACCAGTTTTGAAGGTGATTCCATCAGTGATTGGGGCTTTGTCCTCCCAGACTGTCTTTGGAACTGAAGCACATGTCTATAAGCAGAGTGTAGTTTAGCATTAAGAAGAATCCATGGAGCTCTGTGTTTTCTCAGGAAAGGCTTTTGGCATATACTTTGCACCGGCCCTGCCTCCCACACCAGTTTTGGGCAGTGCTGCAGCATCTCCCGGGCAGTGCTCCATGCTTGCCTGCTCTTTTGACAGCCGTGTAATGTTGTGGTGGGGGCATGGCAGCAGGTGTCAGGAGTGTGGCCCCACCAGGAGCTATCCTCAGCCCACTTTGATGCAGTACGCACTGTCTACCATATGTGTCTAGATGGATTTCCTGGAGCAGTTGCAGGGGATCGGGCACACTCCTATTTAATTGTGCTTCATGCCATGAAACTGCCCTGTGGAAAATGTTGCACACGCTTGTTTGTTTTCCTGCCAGCAGTGTTTGCATGCCCATTACCCTCGTCTTTGATAACACCTGCTTATCAGTCTTTTTCATTTTTGTCAGTTTGATAAGTGGGAATGGATAGCTTGTTGCTTTCATTTGCATACCTGTATTTCACCTTTGAATGACCTAGGACTTATTTTTTCTAGCGGTTTGTGGGAGTTTTTTTTTAACATGTAAACTTGTACATTTTATCTTCCTGAGCTCTCCTGGGTTATACTGAGAAATGAGTTTTGTTTGTGTGTGGTGTGAGGCAGGGATCTAACTTGATTTTCCCAAGTGGGGAAGCCTGTACATTGGCATTCCTTGTCAAGTTGCATTGAGAGATTCTTTTGCTGGGAGCAGTAGCGCTGTCTTCAGGCAGTTACTGCACATCACAGCTGGAGGGAGCCCGCGAGGCCCTGGCCGCTGTTCTTCCCTCGTTGTGGGGCTCAGTGACAGTATTGGCTGAAATGGGCCCTTAGGTTCTGGGCCTTATTGACTCCCGGTCTCATCATTTGGGGAGATCCCATAGAAGAAGGGTCAGGGGGGCTACAGGGCAGGGTTGAGCCACACAGCCAGCCGGGCGCCTTTCTGATGATGCTTGCTTGTAGTCAGTTTAATTTCGGTTTGAATTCTGGCTTTTCCGCTTATTCGTTGTGTGACCTTGGGCCAGTGACCTCACCTCTCTGGCCTAGAGAGATGTAGTTATGTGCCTTTCTGCCTCCTGAGAGGGCTGCAGTGTTGGGTTTTGTGAGGAGGCCCTGGCAGGCTCTTCTCTCCGCACTACTTTCAGATGGTGTTTCTGAGTCACAGCAGCTTATTAATGACTCTGTGCCTTGACCCACACCCCTGTCTTCTCTCTTCCCGACCCACTTAATGAAGCTAAGTTTGCAAATGAAACATAATTTCAAAGACAAGCGTGTTGTTGGGAGGTTTTGGATGGTCTGTGCTTACGGCTGCTCCTTAGCAGCTGTCTAATTGTCACAGATGCTCAGGAGGGGTCTGTAGCATCTGGTTACAGGGGCAGTGCATTACTAAACACCAAAGCAGGATTGTTTGCCAGGGCTGGAATGCCTCCAGGTGGCCAGGGTCGGGCACATACGGACTGTTGTCCAGGGCTGTGGGGCAGGCAGGACAGCCAGGGCCACGGAGTAGGGGTGGGCAGCTTTCCGCACTGCAGTGTGGTGACACGAGCCTGTGTACTGTGCTCGGCACTGGGAATCCCATGAGCATGCAGATGTACCGTGGCCCACAGGCAGCTTCTGCTCTGGAGGGGGAGCCGGGCAGCAGATAGAGAGTCATCACAGTGCACATGACGACAGAAAGGGGGGTGCAGCCGTGTGTCGCAACTGAGGCGGGAGGACAGCCTCGTGTCCAGGCAGTCAAGGTGGGCTTCTGGGAAGGGACACTGGGCCCAGTTCTGAAAGACCAGTGAGACCTAGGAGACAAGGTTTGATTGGTATTTCTTGACGGGGATTGGTCTTTGGTGGTACTGATTTACTTTTGTCCGGCCTCGGGTGGTGCTTGCTCCCTAAAAGCAGTTTGGATGTTTCCTCTCTCCTTTTGCCTGATGCCCGCCCTGCACCTCAGGAGTGTGCAGGGGAGCCGCTCTTCATGCTGTATTGTGCCATCAAGCAGCAGATGGAGAAGGGTCCCATTGACGCGATCACAGGCGAGGCCCGCTACTCGCTGAGTGAGGACAAACTTATCCGCCAGCAGATTGATTACAAGACCCTGGTGAGCACCACCACCGCTTCACCCTTGCAGTCAGAGCGGGTCCCATTGGGCTGACGGGGATGTGGTGATGAAGGGGCTTGATGGTGTCACCCTGCCCTGTCTGCAGACCCTCAACTGTGTGAACCCCGAGAATGAGAATGCACCCGAGGTGCCAGTGAAGGGGCTCAACTGCGACACAGTTACGCAGGTCAAGGAGAAGTTGCTGGATGCTGTTTATAAGGGCGTGCCCTACTCCCAGCGGCCCAAGGCGGGGGACATGGACTTGGGTGAGCCTGATGAGGGTATGGGTTGTGTGGGTGAGGGCCTAAAGTTGGAGCTACAGATAGCCAGGTGGGCAGTGCGGTAGCCTGGGTACTTGGAGTGCGGGCTGGGGTTGGGAGCTGGTGGCTACTAGACTAGGGCAGTAAGGCCAGCCTGGGGCTGAGAGTGGAAACAGAGCAGGGAGACCGTGTAGAAACTGCACACTGAACAGGGGGAGGCAACCAGGCAAAGAGAGAATGAAGGGCAGTGTCCAGACCTCTGGAGCGGAAACACCTGGAGGTGGGAGCTGTCACAGCCAGGGGAGAGCACTCCTAGCTTGAGTGATGGGGCAGGTGGAGGTGCCACTAGCCCAGTCAGGACTCTGGAGGAAGGAGGAAGAACAGGTTTGGGGGCCAAGTTCTGGAGCCCAGGGTAGATGTGACGGGAGCTTAGAGTGTCAGGCAAGGATGTAGGCCTGGAGCCTGGGCCCACAGGGAGCTCTGACAGTGGGGCTGGCTCCCCTTGGGTGGGAGATGAGGGCAAGAAGAAAGGCTGCAGCCAGCACATCCCCACGGGCAGGTGCTCTGTGCTGAAGGCTGGGGCTGTTCAGAGTCAGGGTCTCCTGTTCCCTCCTTCCCTTGTGCCCGAGCCGCCTCCCGCCTCCTCCCTCTCTGCAGAGTGGCGCCAGGGCCGCATGGCACGGATCATTCTGCAAGATGAGGATGTCACCACCAAGATTGACAATGACTGGAAGAGGTTGAACACACTGGCTCACTACCAGGTGACTACCCATGGGCTGTCCAGTGGGCTAGGGCTCTTCTCAGGGGCTGTGTAGTGCGGCATGGGTCAGTGTGAGGACCCCGGCTTGCTCTGCCGCCCGGTTCTGGCTGACCTGGGATGTGAGGTAAATGTGGGGAAATAAGGCCCAGGAATCATGTATGTGAACTGTCCCAACATCATCCAACAGTCTGGAGTGTCCTGATGAGGAAATTGAGGCTCAGAGTAGGGTGGTAACGTCAGGGACATAAGCCCAGTGACTCCCAACTCTGCTCCCAGGTGACAGATGGGTCCTCAGTGGCGCTGGTGCCCAAGCAGACGTCTGCCTACAACATTTCCAATTCCTCCACCTTCACCAAGTCCCTCAGCAGATACGGTGAGTGGAGGAACCAGCATGTAGGACCCTTTTCCTGGAGCCCGTCAGTGCTAGCCTGGTGCCGGGAGCTGGCAGCCTGACATTGCTGGTAGGGTCCTCAGTGAGTGGGGCTGAGGAGCTGCTGACAGCTGTGTGTCCACAGAGAGCATGCTGCGCACAGCCAGCAGCCCCGACAGCCTGCGTTCACGCACCCCCATGATCACGCCCGACCTGGAGAGCGGCACCAAACTCTGGCACCTGGTAAAGAACCACGACCACCTGGACCAGCGTGAGGGCGACCGTGGCAGCAAGATGGTCTCCGAGATTTACCTGACGCGGTTGCTGGCCACCAAGGTGAGCCCTCGGCACAGGGAGGCCGGAAGGGCTGATGGCTGGATGGAAGCTGGAACTGTACTGCTTCCCATTCCAGGGCACACTGCAGAAGTTTGTGGATGACCTGTTTGAGACCATCTTCAGCACGGCTCACCGGGGCAGTGCCCTGCCGCTGGCCATCAAGTACATGTTTGACTTCCTGGATGAACAGGCAGACAAGCATCAGATCCATGATGCCGATGTGCGGCACACCTGGAAGAGCAACTGGTACACAGGGAATGGGGGACTGTGGGCGGTGTGGCTGTGTCCCCTGTGTGTGTGTGTGTGACTGGCTTTGTGTGGGATCTTGCTCACGTGGCTGTGTGCCTGTAACTGCACATGTCACTCTGACCGTGCACTAGTGGGTGACTATTTCTGTGTAGTCAGGCACTGCAGCCAGGCCTATGTGACGGCGCTTGTGTTGTGCATGCCTGTGTGTGCCATGTGCTTGCGTGGGACCACGTGTGTGTCATGTGTCTGTGCATGGTCATTAGGAGGTAGCTCTCACTCACCCCGCCCCTCTCTGGGCCTCAGTTTTCCCATCTGTGTGAGTTGGCCATGGCTACTTTTAAGTCAGGAGTCAGCAGGGCCGCACTGTGAGGGCTGGGGTCTCGCCCTGGCCTAAGGTGTGGGCCAGGCTGCCTCTAGATAGCTCTGATTAGGCTTTCCTGCCTGCAGCTTGCCCCTACGCTTCTGGGTGAACGTCATCAAGAACCCGCAGTTCGTGTTCGACATCCACAAGAGTAGCATCACGGACGCATGCCTCTCAGTGGTGGCCCAGACCTTCATGGACTCCTGCTCCACGTCCGAGCACAAGCTGGGCAAGGACTCCCCCTCCAACAAGCTGCTCTACGCCAAGGACATCCCCAACTACAAGAGCTGGGTGGAGAGGTGCGGGGCATGTGCGGGCTGGGGGTGGAGTAGGCCGCAGGGCAGGCAGAGCCAGGACTCAAGCTGCACCCGCTTGGCCATCTACAGGTACTATGCTGACATCGCCAAGATGCCGGCCATCAGCGACCAGGACATGAGTGCATACCTTGCTGAGCAGTCGAGGCTGCACCTGAGCCAGTTCAATAGCATGAGTGCCCTGCACGAGATCTACTCCTATATCACCAAGTACAAGGATGAGGTGAGCCTGGGTGCGAGGGACCCTCAAAGGGGGTGTGGGTGGAGCCAGCCTCAGGCTCTGCCAATTCCCACCTGCCTGTCAGGGCAGCACTCAGAAATAGTTGGGCCATGCTGGGGTAGGAAGGTCTGGGATCAGGGTTTCCCGAGGGGCAGGTGTGGCTGGTAGCAGTTTCTGAGCCAGGTGGGCCCGAAATCTGGTGGTCTGCTTCCTTGGAACTGGGAAGGAGAGTTTGAGCTGCAGGACCAGAGGGACTGTGGCCTATCTGGGCGAATCCCAAGGCTCCATGTGCCTTGGAAGTGAGAGTGTCATGTGAGGACAGAGTGATGAGCAGTTCAAGTCCATGTTGACAGACAGGGCGGGGCCCGAGTTTGGAGGCCTGGCCTTCACTGAGTCACCTGCTTGAGGGGGGAGGTGGGCGGTGCTGCCTTGGGAGCATAAGGGAAGGATTCAAGCCTTGGGGTTGTCTGGGCTGGCCATGGCTGTGCTCCCGACACAGAGGGTAGTGGTGGTTGTTAAATACTGCATAGCAACCCTGCGTAGGGTTCTGAGGAGTAGCTGGTGAGCTTGAACTGCCAACCTTGCAGTTCAAACCAACTTTACAGTCCAGTGCATTAACTCACAGTGCCACACCAGGACTGACACATAGGATATGGGGACAGAAATGAGCCACCCAACAGCTGGTACCACAGCACAGCACACCCTCCTGTGTGACCTTGGGTGCCTGTTCCCTTTGGAGCACTGCCCAATTCTCCCTCCCATCCCCACCTACCCCCAGATCTTGGTGGCGCTGGAGAAGGATGAGCAGGCGCGGCGGCAGCGGCTCCGGAGCAAGCTAGAGCAGGTAGTGGACACCATGTCTCTGAGCAGCTGAAGCAGTGGTCAGCACCTTTGCCTAGGACGGGGACAGGCAGTGCGGAGCCAGCAGGCCAGGCCAGGGCAAGGAGGCCCCGTGGCAGCCCCATGGCCCTTGTCTCTGGGGTGATCAGAGGTGCTCAGAGCCCCAGGACTGTGGCACTCCGCACAGCTGACCTCAAGTCTCCGTGGACCAAGTCCTCCGGCCCCTCTGAGCCTTGCCTGGCATGGAGCTGGTTTTATGTGAATGGACGTGCCTGTGGGCCTGCTTCTCTATGTTTGTGCACCAGGGAGAGGGCGCAGGCGGTGGGCTTGCTGCCTGCTGGGCTTCATGGGGTACAGTGGGACGTTTGAGGGTGACTGTTGGTAGGTGCCTCTGGCTGTGGCACAGCCATGGGCGGGCCAGGTTGGCATCTTGCTGAGGGAGATGCTAAGGGTCTGGGCTGGGTCAGGATGAGACAGGATTGCTGGGCCCCCCATGCCTGCCATCACCACCCTGATTCACCGCGTGCTCCTGCAGGCCAGGCCCGGAGTGCTGTGTCCCCCGCCCAGAGAGGTGCCCTCCAGACTCCCCTCCTATGGAGGGGCTGCACAGCTCCAGTAACCTCGGGCTGGGCTCAGGCGCTCCCTCTCTCCTCAGGGCTTCGCTCCTGGAAGCTCCTTGGGCCCGGGCTCCGTCCAGGTCCCAGTGTGCACGCTTGTTATTTATTGCTCCCAAGCCAGTCCCTAGCTGTCCAGGAGTGGTGTGGGTCCTCCTTGGCCACCAAGCTCCTGTCACCGCTCTCCCCTCTGTTCTCCCTCTGCCCCCACTTCCCACCTCCTCCCCTCCAGTGGCTTCCAGGCTGGCATCTCAACAGTGTCTGTGGGGTGGTGGCACATCTGGGAATTGTAGTATTTTTAGTAGGGGGAAGGAAACCCTGTTGGCCGCATGGGTGATGACAGTGACTGGGCACTGGAGGCCATGGAGCAGAGGGACAGCAAAACCAGCTTCTACCCACTCTCACCCTAGTGAGCAAGAATGGACCGGTTTTTAATGAAAGACCTGTAAATATATATATAGTCTCAAGTGGCTCCTGCCTCTGCCTCCAGACCCACTGGGCGGGTATGTGTAGTCAGTGATGGAGAAAGTTTGACAGACCATTGAGAACAAGAACTTTAAGGCAGTGGGAAGAATATCAAATGGTCCAGGGAAGTGCAGATCTGCCCCTTTGGGGGCCTCGTGCTGGACCTAACTGCTGTGTGCCCTATCGGACTGAGGGGGTGTCCTTCCCGCCACCCAAGCACACGGCGGGAGGCCGTGGTGACTGCATGACTGTCCTAGCGTTTAGTCTGAGTTGATCTTTTTAAACCTGCAAGTGTTGGTACTAGAGGTTGTTAGACCTTTTTTATGTTTTTTTTTTTTAATTAATTAGTCACTTGTGAAAGCAAACCAGCGGCCGCCCCTTTTGAGTTCACGCCAATGGTACTAAAGACCCCACGACTTTAAGGGACAGCTAACTGTGGCCAGGCCAGCTTGCCTTCAGCCCAGCCCAGCAGAAGAACACCCCCAGGCTGTCGCACGTGGCCCTCCTGAGCACGGGAGCCCTCCTGCATGGGGGCCATGTCAAAGCGGCACCTGACTCAGGAAGCTCCTTGACCCAGGGAGACTGGGTGTCCCAGACCCCGGGGCCTGCAAGAGGCTCAGGACTGCCCATTGCTTGCGCTCAGGCTGCCCTGGTCACTGGGGGCCAAAGGAACCTGGGACTGGGTCTCTGTTCCTTCTGGATTTGGCTGTGCGCCCCATTCCCCGGGTGCCTCCGGTGCCCACGTTGATGCTATCTGGCAAGGCCTGGCTCCGAGCAGCAGTGCCCCCTAGAGTTCTGCCCTGGACACTGGCTTTGAGCAAAGCTGCCTGTGCTTCCACTTCCACCTTGGTCAGGTTGGGCTTCCCCGGCCATCCTCTCCAGAGCCCACCCCAGCCCCCTCCCTGCCGAAGCTTCGCACTGAGGGGTGGGCACCCTGCCCAGTGGCCCTAGTCCCTGTGGCCCTCCCCGCAGAGAGCCCATAGGGACTTGGGCCCTGGAGCACACACCCGTGTTAAGTCGCAAGCACTTTAGCAATATCTGTTTACATATGCGTTTAACAAGCCGATTCCGAACATGCCATCTCCCAGCTCAGTAGGCCCCAGGTGTTGCTGGGCACACACCCTCCAAGGGGAGCTGAGGGCTGGTTCCTGTCTTGAGCCTTCCTGGCTTTCCTGGCTCTGGGGTAGGCCTCTGCCCCTTGGCTTAGGAGAGGGGTCCTGAAGGAGTGGGGTTGAAGCAGGCCAGGTTTGTGGAGACTGGGTTCCAGTGGAGGTGCTGTTCAGGTGACACCCTGGCCCGCCCAACACTGCTGCTACTGCCTGTCCTGCACGAGGGCCTGTGGGGTCTCGGTGTCTGCCACAGCCTGACCCTGCCTGGCTCACCTCCTTTCCTGGACTATGCTTCAGGGGTGCCCCGAGGATAGCACACCCATGGTTTAGGAACCTGAGGCCTCTAAGGGGGCCCTGATATACCTCGAGCTTACCCTGTACCCCAGAGGCTGACCCTGGCTGTGGGCCCTGCCCCTATCCAACCTTGACCACAGGGTCAGGGCTGCCAAGGGGCAGACTGGGGTGGGCCCCTGGCTTGTGGCACTGGCCTGCCTCACACGGGCTCTGCCTGGTGCCCCCCTCCCTGCCCCCCACATGCCGGGGAGGGCCTGTTTCCACCGAGGAACCAAAGCATCCTTCCCCACCCTGCTGGTGTGACCTTTTTGAGGGCCTCGTCTGGTGGCTCTCCTGGCTTGGGGCATGATGGCTCACGTCGTTGGTGCTACACAGCTAGAATAGATGTATGTAGAGAGGATATTTTTAAGACGAAGTCCACAATTAGCTGTCCTTTAATGCTGAAGACCCCCACCCGCAAACAGCGGCCCTGCGTCTACGCTCTAACAAGCCCCGTGGTGGTGTCCCGGCAGTGGCCGTGGCTGCTGGGCACGCGGCCTCAGAGTGTGTATATACACGGTTGTTTCCTATTTTACTGTTCCTCAGATTTAGTACTTGTAAATACACACACATGATGGAGAGATTAAACATTTTTGCTACACTGCCTGGCTCTGCGTTTTTCCTTTTGGGGTGGGCTGGTAGGAGGTGACAGGGCAAGGCTCCTGGCAAGGAAGGTCCTGGAGGGTCATTGGTCGGGACATAGTGGGAGGAGGAGTCAGCAGAGCTCAGCACACACCTGGGAGGTGGTGGGTGTGGCGCAGTAAGCTGGGAGAACCTGTGTTAGATGAGTAGGGACCTCCACCGCTTCCCAGCCCGGGGTGTGCTGACACAATGGGTCTCCCCAGATGACTGTGTAACCACCTTCCAAGAACCTGGGTGGTGCCTGGGTGAGGTTTGAGCAAAATGCCAGTGCCAGACCTCACTCCAGAGATTCCGGTGGACTCTAGGGCACCCCAGCCTGGACACTATAAAGGCTGAGGTGAAGGTCATGCACAGTGGGCTGTGGATGGCTCCGCAGTGACTAACACCTCCTTATGTGGGGCAGGGCTCCCTGGAGATCATGTCAAAATTCCAACCCTGCTACAGAGCATCCTGGTGCTACTGGTGACGTGGAAGCGCATCCCTGGACAGCAGGGTGCGGTGGCTTCATGTCCCAGACAGGGTTGGCGGGGGCCCTAGTTAGCAGGGAGTCTTCACTTGGAACCCAGTGATGGAGATGCTTACCTACATTCTTTGGAGCCCTTTCTAGCACAGACTTGTTTGGTCTCGTAAACAATGGTTTCGTGAACAATGGTTTCGTGGCTTTGAGCAGGTGGCCTTGTGTCTCTAGCACTGCACCCATCCTCTTCCCACCACGGGTGGGCATGGGGGCCTGGGCATATCTCTGCCCATGTCCCAGGCAGATCCCAGCCAGTGATGGTGTTGACTACATACTGTGGTGTTTTTGACCAGAACCCTGTGTCCAGTGAGCTGGGGGCTGTGGCAACCTCAGACCCCCAAGCCCGAGCTTGCCAGGAGAGAGGCCTGAGGGTCTCAGTCCACATCACATGCCCCTCTCTCATCTTTCCTGTTTCCCAAAGCCCACTGCAATGGAGTTGATTCCAACTTAGAGCAACCCTGTGTAGGATTTCTGAGGCGGGAAATATTTATGGGAGCAAAAAGCCTCGTCTTTCTCACAGAATGGTTGGTGGATTCGAACTGCTGACCTTTCAGTTAGCAGCCCACCTGGAACGCGGTGGTCCAGAAGTCAGTCAATGCCCCTTGCTCCAACACAGGACTGCTGAAAGCCAGGTTGCAGGCTTCCAGCTAAGCGCCCGGCTCAATTACTAAAGAGAAATCAGTGTAATCACCATGAAATTGCATCGGAAACAAATTTAGCAAATGCACCCCCTTTGGGGTGTGACGTGGCCTGCGCTCACAGCCAACACAGACCCTGCTCACCTTCCGGCCCAATCAGCCCTGCCTCAATTACCCTGCCTGGTAGCACCCAGCCGCAGCCGACGAGGTGGTCTAATCAGGTGCCTGCAGTGATAAATGTAATTGCCTGTGAGCTCTGATGAATGCTCTCCCGTCAGTACAAACGCAGGCTGCTTGTGGCAGGACGGATGGGGCTGCTGCCTGTGGGTGACAGAGGGCTGAGAGCCAGTGTGGCCCAAGCAGGCAGCGGCATATCCCCTCCGAGTGCAGTGGCCCAGCTGGACCTTGCTTGGGACCTAGCACGTGGCTGACCCTCTGCGTGCCAGGCCTGATCCTGATCCTGAGCAGAGAGACGCAACAGTGAACAAAATGGATTGTGAGCTTCCCCTTCCCTCTGGTCCTATAGTCCTGGGGGTTGAGGGGACACTGCCCTCAGGAGTCCCCCAGCCCTAGGGGGTTCTGTAGTACTTGGGGGTCCCATTGCCCTGGGGTGTTCCACAGTTGTGGAGGTGTTTCCACACCTCAGCCTGTCTTGTTCTATGTTGCTTTGTGTACCACTGATTCATTTACCTCAGTGCTTACTTTAAATACACTCC